AGTCAGTTATAACGTGGAAAAAAAACCGAGTATATATAAATATATCTTGGAGTCTTCAGCGCTTCATTGTGTTTAAATATAATTAACTCTGCTTGCACCCGAAGTAGACAACGCTCTGTAAATGTTTCTTACTTTTTTATTTGCTTGTTTAATTGTGGACACGTTGAGCTAATGAGGTAACATAGTAACTAGTTTATTTTCACCTAGAACGTACTCTGCGTTTGTCAGGATCAAAATTTCTAAATAAAAAAGAATTATTTTACATTAATATAAATTGTCAATTTGTTTAGACAAATGGTACATTTGACAATGATTATTTCGTTTAAAGTTATGAACGTTTGCGTTTAAGGAATGGTCATTACTAGTTAGTTCATATGAAAATACATATTCACCTCAGCTCTCTCGTATTACACAAGAAGTAGGTACTACTTGCAGTGGAGACTGGCGGAAATCGAAAGTGCAACACCACCTGATAACAGTGCACTTTAATTGCAAGTAGTTCACCAACTACCTTCGGTACTGACGTCTCGTTTACTTTTCAATCTCCAAATATGTCTCTACTAAATTGTGATTATCAATGTTTCTCTGTGTAACAGTGTCTTCGTTGAATTAGAATAAATCATCAAAAAATCGAAATGTTTCTTCAGGCTGTGGTGATAATAGTTTTGATGCATAATGTTGATAATGTTCGTGGACAATCGAGTAGTCCTCAAATCAACACCAGCAGTATATCAAAATTACCAGCTCAAACCGGAAGAACACCTGTGATATTGCAAACTAAGATTGCACCAATGAACCAAACTGGAATGAAGGAATTTGCAGAATTGTTTGATCAGTATTATTGGTCTAAGCGTTTGAAACTGCTGAAAGATGGAAATTGTAGGAAAAATATGGAAAGCTACATCACACAGCTACGGAATGGGTCCTTTTGGGCTTCAAAAAGTAAGCATCATATCCTTATTTATATAAGTACATAGAATTGTCTAACATTAACATTCGTTATCATGCAACGCAATATTAGTTATTGCTTCTTTTGATCTAGGCAAGTAAGATCTTTCTGGAGTTACGTTTTAACATAAATAAGCTTTTATTGTTGCTTTCAAGCTTCTGAAACTTTTAATTTTCAATTTATGCGACACTCACTGAGATTTTGTATGCGTAACCTTTATTGAATACCGTTCATGTTTGACTGCTTGTAAAATTGTTGAAACATTTCAAGTGTGATATTGTTGAAAGAAGTATTGTTTCAACGGTGATTTCAGCAATTCAAACTCTTGGGCGGAATTTGATTAAAATTTACTTCAACAGTGTCGACATTATATCGTTGTCATCATTATACAGGGTGTCCCACCGGAAACCGCCGCGATCGATATCCGGCGAACTCTAATTAGGAGAAATTTGAAAATTGGACAGTGTGCCGAAGTCATTAGGGGCAAGCGGTATTAAATATTTCCAAGATGGCCACACTTAGTAACACTGAAGTAGTTATCAACTTGCTTATTTTAAATGAAACACCCTATATATTATTACATTTTTAAATTCTACTCCAAATTCTAAATATATTTCATGTATTTCCGTTTTGGATATATGTATTTGAAATCTTGTGTAAAAAATTACAGTTGCAGCCATTCGAATAATTATTCATTTTTCCTAAAGGGAATATGTGCTACTTAAAATGAGTCGCATTTCTTGTTGAAAAGGGAATTAATTTCAAAATGTTGAGAAAACCGCCCAAAATGTTTTTTATGAAAACCCCCATTTTTGATAATTTCATCTTATTTAATATTAAAAATAAGGGTATCTTTGTGTAAAGTTGTATATTCCAAACGTGTTTAGTTTTCGAAATATGTAATATGTATATGACTTTCTTATTGTTTCAAATGTTAAAAAATGATTGGTGTCATCGATTTAGATCAAAAAGTAATAATAAGTTTCTAAATAAGTTCTAATGTGATCTGGATAGGTCGTTCTCACAATTACCCAACTTTTATTCGATTTTACTTAATAATAAAGTTGGTCGCAATATTGATACCGACGTTTTCAAGATTAGAGCTATTAGAAATATTTGTAAAACTGCAAAATTTAATTCACACAAAGTTTAAAAATATTAAATTATTTTAATTTACTCTTTCCTCAGCATGCATCTTCCCGAAAAAGTACCTAATCTATTTTGCATCAAAAACGCTTGTATTGCTTTGGAAAGTGCAATATCAATTTAGCTTATGCTACTGTCTCAATACGTGAAACGCCAATTAATACATTAGAAAATAACCGAAAACTTTAACCAAGGCAAACATCGAAATCGTTTCCTGTCGCTAACTGACCGGTAATAAGAAATTATTTTCATTGACAATTTGGATCCTAATTGAAACTTTCCCTGCAACTAGTTTACCAATCATCATTTATTCCAGATGATTTCAATCAATTTTACCATTTTTACTTCATGCTCGAAGACAAATTATTCCGCCTCTCTCTTTCAGATTTTTTTAATTCAGTACTTTTCAACCTTAACCCTAACGGTGTATTCTTTGAATACCTAAGCACAGTGTCGCAAATGCACTTTTCGCGTAGCTAAAGTAAAAGCGAAAAGAAGTGCATGTGCATTCAATGCACAAATACCGGTCAAATGAATTATATAATCGTTGGGTGCTGGTTTACATTTGTTGAGGATCGTAATTATGTGGTATCAAAATGAAAGTAAGCCAAACAGGTTTTTGAATCAGTCGAAGAAATTGGCTCGCTTACTATTAGCTAATACTTATTTACTATGAATATGTTATACATATTTATTATCTGTATGTTTTATTGTTTCATGACTTTGTTGAAAATTGAAAAACGTTTACCTACATTTTATTTCAAGTAATTTTTTGACTTTCGCGTGTTTGAGGAGACGTTTTATAGTCTACGTTATCTGCGTCTGGTTTGTCGTTGGATATATTTCGAATACGTCTTTTAAACTTTTAACGGCACGATATTACTTTCATTTCTGCAAAATTTGTAGGAGCTACAAAAACTTTGCTTCATTAAAAAATTTGCTTAAATATAAAAAAGTTTTTGCCGATACTTGAACCCTTCAACGATCTGATCGACTTTTCTGTTTACAATGTGAAGTCTTTTGTCAATCTTCTGAACCATTGAATGCTATTCGTGATAAGTTTAATAACTTTTCATTTTCAGTACCTTCAAGTAGCTTTTTGTATATCTATTAATTTTTAGATAATACTTGTCTACTACAAACCGTACAAATCGGAAATTTTGTCATTTTTTAATAAATCATTGCTTCTACCGAAAAAAATCAACTCAAGAAGTGGAAGTCAAAATCAAACTAAAAACATAAAAGTATTATATGTATTTGGAATACAAATATATTAAGAAAATCACACAAAATCTAAGGAGTAAAAAATATGATACGCCTTCTGTACGTCCACACATTCCACACATCAAAAGCAATTGTGCCAAAACTCTCAAATTTTGTTTTTTATTTAAAAGGGCTAATTTCTAAAACAATTTGTCAAAGTTATTACAGATTAAAAATATTCCGTTTTGCAAGTTAGAAACAAAGTTATAACCTTTGCATAAATAATGATTGGAACTAAAATTTTAACAACGGACTAATCACATTAAATTACCTTCTTACCTTAAATTAGTACTTCCTACCTTAGATTACCACATAAGAATTAACAGGTTATACCGTTTTGCAGCGTTTTGCTAGTCAATATTCTTCATTTCGCTTATTGTTTCATTTATATTATTTATAATAAGTCTGTAGATCAAGTTAATTAAGTCTGTCTAGAATAGAGCAAGAGACTACGGAAATAATCGAGATTAGGAAAGGCGTAAGACAGGGAATTTTTACTCTCACAACTCAACCTATACCTACTCAGAAGACATCATAAACAAAGCACTTTCAGAGCAAGATATTGGTATTAAAATAAATGGCATCCCAATAAACAACTTAAGATATGCCGATGACACGGTTGTAATTGCAGGAACTCCAGATGTTCAGATCCTAATTAAGAGCATAGTAGAATGCAGTGAAGAGTACGGATTATCACTTAACATGAACAAAAATAACGGTGGTATCTAAATTACCACCAAACTTCCCTGACATATCCGAACATGGTCAAAAAATTGAACGTGCGAGAAAAGATAATTACGTGGGAACTGTTATCAACGAAAATAATGATAGCTCTGAAGAAATCACGATAGAGTGGAAAAAGCTAGAGCCACATTTACTAAAACAAAGAAGGTGTTCTGCGGACGAGATCTAGATAAGCATTAAGCTTAAAATTCGTTTTCGAGATGTTTCGTGCTGCCGATTCTCTATGGAATGAAAGCGTGGACATTGAAAAAAATCGATACCAAGAGGAAGCATTTGAAATGTGAGTGTACCGTAGATTACTAAGAATACCATGGACAGAGAGAGTGACGAATGTGTAGATTTTGCGAAAAATGCAGAAAATGAAAGAATTGATACTTACTGAAGCGCAAACTGCAATATTTGGGACATGTTATGAGCGGGGATAAATACCAGTTACTGGAACTTATGATCCAGAAAAAAATAACTAGCAAAAGATCCATAGGAAGAACAAGGAATTCATGGTTGGAGAACTTAAGAGAATGGTACAACTGCAACAACTGTTTATATCTGCGGTATCAAAAATACGCATGGCTTTGATGATGGCCAAATTTCGGAACCAAGGCACCTAAAGAAGAAATAAGTCTGCATTGTTAACGATCACCACAAGTACTAATTTTGACTTAAAACGACGTACTTTGGATTCTGAAAGTATTTATTTTTCTAAAATATCAACAGGTGCTTAATTAAATAAAAGCAGTTACCACCAATCAGAACATCGTATATGAATGAATGAAAAAAAAAATGTAAATGAAAATTTTCTTCAAATTAGGATTGAAAGTTAGGGGTTTGTTCAGATCGACTCGGAATTTATCAACACTCAACACCGCTTTTTGTTGAATACAATTGCCCAAAATTTCCCGTAAGTTAACTAACCCTGTGATATGTCTTAATGGTGAGCCTTGATAAGATCAAATAAGATAAACACCTCATTTGAGACACAATCAAACATCTACTTGAAAAATCTAAATTAAATTAAGATTCGCATAACACTAAGATACTTGCTCGTCATTAGTTAGAATGGATAAACATAAGGGCATTCTTTACGCATATGGAATTTATAATATCCGTACCTAGGAAGATTTTTATTTATTCACTTCAGACCACTGATGTTGAATGTTAATTTGATACAAAGCTGCTCAGTATTCAATTTGAGCTGTTGGATATCCAAGGAACTTTAAATTTTATTTAGATAGCAGTGCAATTTCAAGCATATTTTTCATGTTTCAGTGTATGATGCATCCGGGCGATATAATGGACAATTCTTCTTTGGCAATGATTATTGGCTTGGATCTTGGACGCTGTGTCATGAACTTCAAAATCCCAATACCAACAATGAAATTCCTCCTTTTCCCGTATACTTTTTTGTTGTTAAATTCAAAGTAAATATGGGCATTACATTTACACCCCAGGTAAGAACTTTCGTTCCTTAAGTTTTAAAGTTTCGGTCCTTTATAAGGCGAGATTTTAAAAATTGTCTGGAACAAACGACGGCTAAGTCCATAGGAACTGTAAAGTACCTACTAGGCTAAAAGATATTATATTGCTTCATGCCAATCTACAGCAAATATCGACCCAAAAGCTCCGACAAACTAGACAATGCACAGTTAAAGTCGTAAATCAAATAAAAGTCGAGGAAAATTTAATTGACATTTTTACAAGAAAATCCAAGTTGCATAACACTGAAACTCTCTAATGCCATATAAATTTACCTCACCTAGTGTGTGGTAATGACATAATCTACTAACCCGTACCCTGTAGGAAGAGAAAGCAACTGGAAACAGCAAATATCGAAAATACCGCATCTATACTGCCATATTTCAGCAATTACACACTTTGTTTTGATGTCATTTTTTAGCCTCGACAAATCCATTTAGGGCTTTGCCTGCCTAAATCTTGCGATATTATGGATGTTAGAAAATTGCTACTTGAGGAACGTACCAACGCTATTAACACAACCATTATTGATGTTAGAACAGTACCAGGAAGTTATTCGATTTTTAAAGACTATACATTTCAAATTGTTGGGTATGTGATATCTACTTAATACCTATTTATAGTCATCAACTAGCCTAAATATTTAGTTGATTTACCATTTTGCAAACATATCAAATTAATTCACGCAATACAGGTAATAAAACGGATAACCTTCGAGATAGACTGCATGAATATAAAAACAGAACCAATTAAAACAAGCACTTATTAGTCATAATCTATTGGTCCTTTCCTTTTCGCTTGCATAGTCTGGTAGGGACCTGTTGATTTCGTCACAACGTACAATACTTAAAATACTTACATGTTACATCCTGCATATAAAATAGACAGATTTTGCAATATCTTTGCAGTGCAGCTATTAATGTTTAAAAACCAACATCATTTATTCGATGGGTCTTATGTGTACATTTGCCAACCAGTATTTTGAAATATTTTGCGAAATTCCTAACGACTATCAAATAAATTGCCAGTATGCCAGTATTCGTTGATCAATTATATTATTTGCTCACTCTACGTAAATAACCATTAAATCAAGAAAACCAACTTTTACCATTCGTTTTTTTTTGTTATTAATATTGTCAATTTATCTATCGTTCGAGGTTGATATAATGACTTGCACAAGCAACACCAGCCTTTATATTTAAAGAATAATTATTAAATGGTATTAGTTTGTATGGAAAATTTTACTGCTGTGGATAAACGTATTGTTCGTATACATCAGATCTTATTCGTCGTGTTTTATTAGTTAAATACTTTGCCATCCACCCTTCATTATAATTAAATGTGTGTAATTTTTAGCACATCTGGATTGATGACATTAATGTTGATAATAGTCGCTTCAGTTGTTGAAGTACTTTTAAAGAAAAAAGTTTGCCATTCCCATTCGAAAAATGATGGGGAAACGAACAGGACAGTTGAAAGTTCAATAAGCAAAGAGAAAATTATCAGCAGCCCAAACAGTCTCAAGAAGGAACACAGTAATTAGATTTTGTAGTAAGTGATTTTGAAAAAAATCCAACTTTTTATGAAATTTTAGGAATTCTCCTAAGACTGTTGCTCGCCTTTTCAGCAATTAGTAATGGAAGAAAAATTATTTCCGCCAACTCCTCAGTGTCTAAGGACGTAATAGGGTGCTTTCATGGACTGCGGGTGTTTTCCATTGGATGGATCATTTTAGTTCATACTTACTTGCAAATTTTCGGAATTGGCGCAAACAAAAGTTTACGCACGATTACGGAACAGAACTTTATGTATCAAACAATAGCAAACGCGACATTTTCAGTAGATACATTCTTTTTTATAAGGTAAGCAAAGACGGTGTGAGAGCTAATGGCCTATGAATGAACAAACAAATAAGAATAATATAATTACAGTTTTTAACTGGTTTTCTTGTTAAAAGTGTTTTGTTTGTTCAAGCCCAAGCCTTAGAAGAATTTTTCTCGTTCAGGAAAAAGTAGTTACTTTGGATGTTAAGTACAAATAAATATTTCTTGAACTGTTACAGTTAACAGTATGGAAGTTAAAGAATTGTTTCGTCCTAGAAAGTTAGCCTAAATTTGTTCAAAAATTAAATGAATTAAAAACTTCTGTTATTTTTAGTGGGCTGTTGGTGACTTTGGTATTTCTACGAAACGAAGTTTCAAAAGATGAAAATCCACAAGAGAATTCTCTAGTAGCAGTTTTGTCTTCAAGTGTCTCAAAATTTGCCCTCATGATTGCATACAGGTTTATTCGCTTAACACCTGCATATTTATTCGTCTTAGGAGTCAACGAAGTGGTTGTCAGGCATATTCACAAGTAGGTAAATGTTATTTTATATGAAGCATCATTCAGCTATATAAGCAGAATATATGGTTTTCCATCGAGGCGTCAAATTAATAACAGTTTTTATATTACTCCGGGCGAATATTAGGTACTAATTATTTTCCTTGTTGCTCGCTAAATTGCTTCGTTTCTCCAATGTACTGCGCTTACACGGCCATATAACAGCAAATATATTGCTTATTGCAACTTAATTTCTGCGGAAAACGGAAGTAGTTTGAAGCGTGCTCGTTTTGGTTTTCTCATATCGGAAAATATGTTTGTACTTTGCTTTTCTAGTATAGAATGTCATCTAAGTAGACTAGTGAAGGTAGGGCTGGGTAACACTGGGTTGAGTTAGGCTATTGAGTTGATGCCGCTCTCTGAG